CACTAAATACAATCTAAGCATAATACAGAGCCAAACCCCACAATGCGGGTATAGTAAACAGGAAATTTAGGGCCAGATTAAGCCAATCTTCTACTGAGTGGTGAAATATATTATCTCTGTGTAAAGAGTAGTATAATTGGGCATCTACCACTGGACTTGTACACAAAAGTATGTTTTACAATACAACTGCTAGGATGAATATGGATCCCGAAATATATATATATATATGTCACTCATCCATAATGAATAGCAGTTTATACATACAGTGCATCCTCGTAAATGAGTTTCACTTCCTGGTTTTCATGATTATCTTTCAAAGGCGGAGAATAAAATGTACAGTAATAAAAGGGGTAGCTCCCATATACTATATGGCATATATACTGCTAAAATATATATATGTTGTTTAAAATGGGATTGAACTCATAAATACATCATTCAAACTTCACTCTAAAACGTATTACCATAAATGCTAATTATGATTAAATCACCGAAAGCTTTCTACCCTTTCTATATAAGGTCAAAAACTGACTTTCATAGATAAGCATAACGTTGGGAAATAGGAGATTAACTCTTGTTATTGATTAAAGTTGTTGATTGACTGTTTGCTTCTGAGTTTGGAAATAATTCATTCAACATATACAGGTGAAGGCCAGATTTGTCCGAAAACTAGTCAGACGTTTAATGGTACATTTACGGAGAAAACAGATTAAGTGGTACATTTCATGATTTACGGGGAACAAGATAAATTGTATACTTCAAGATATACAATCAAGACTAGTACATGAAGAGAATGGGCTAAACATAACATTTAAAGATACATGGAAAACGCACTAAACAGTACATTTCATGATATCAATATTGATAAAAAGTGCGGAGCTGCAGTGATGAACTGACATTGGCGAGAATTCAAAATACTGTTATATATATTTTTAAATCTACCATATAACGTCTATATTTAAATATATAAATCTGTAAATGCTAAATTTACATTTTTTTTAACGAACACTAACAACAAAAGTTAATAGTACAATCTCTAGTTTTCTATTTTCTAACTTCATGCTAAATTGTTGATCTAAGAAAGTGAGTATTTGGCCTTATTAACATGGATTGGTGAAAGGTTTGATAATTATAATCATCGTTTTTGGTAATGCGTACTGAAGGTCAAAATTGATCATATATAGGTAATTGTGACCGAGATGAAGCTTATAAAAATAACCTTTTAATGCTAATTTGTTGACCTAAGAAAGGGAGCACAATTTGTTGACCTAAGAAAGGGAGCATTCGGCCTAATTTAAATGAGTTGTTGAAATCTTTTGGAGATTTAATAACTATAATCAGCGTTTTTAGCAATGGATACATAAAAAAGTTCGTCATCATATATATGTAATTGTTGTGACTGAAATGATGCTTATAACATTTACTCTTGTAATCCACAAGAGTGGGCACCACGACATGTCTATATAATCTTTTACATAACATTGCATTATCCTGACAACACATTAACATGTCACAGAATTGTATCCAGATTTCCCAGATTAGGATTAAATAAGACTAACTGTTATGGCTTTACTCCTATACAAGTGTAATACAATCAACATTTTACAACTTTCTAAAAAGAGCATACACTTAACCCTGAAGAAATAATACAGACAATGTATTATTAACTGATCGATTTAAGCAATTTGTATGCAATCATAAAGGACAGCATCTCATCGCCACTACCATTGCCCACACGACCAAAACAACTACATCCACCACTGCAATCAAAATCCACAGTCTGATAGTAATTTTAAATTTCTACCTGACTGCAAGATTGACAGATTTACATTCTATAAGCATTTCCATCTAGTTCTTAAAAGTTAGAGAATTGAATCCTAATCTACGCGTGTCTAATGGACAAAGTCACTAAATTCCATAAGCTGCAGCACTAAGCACTTTTCATCTGCTATTTAGAACTACAAATATATATTACTTGGTATAATATTACAAATGCATGCAGTAGGTGATATTAAAATCCATAACCATGCAGATGTTTTTATTGGAACTTCACGAATGAATCGGATGACAATTAAGCTCTCAACTAGCATATGTCGAGTGAAATGATCCTGCAAAATAGAGTATGTAGTCGTGTTTATCCCAATCTTGTTATTTCTAAATAATGTTTCAATATGTTCAGGGACGAGTAATTTGGGCATGTCAGTCTGTGTCCATCTTTCTGTCTTATGACAGTTTGCTCATTATTCATGTATTTTGATTATTCATTTTGCATGTGATTACTGGCAAACAAAGATCAAACTTGTGATCAAAGGCATCTCGCCACTGCAGGCGGATGTGATTCTCATCAAGACACAGTAACTGTTCTAAGAAGAACTGTTCCAAATGGAGTGTAATGAGCATGGTCCCACTGTGACTAGTTGTTAATGTGTAAACCGAATCCCCGATATATAATATATAGCTACACATATATGTGTTAAGTATGCATGGTCCAATATTAACCCTACGCAGTTAGGATTATTGACCCCAGGGATAATCTCAGAGACAATCAGCGTGTCAAATTAATGTAATTACAGGCAAATTAAGTTACGTACATTACAACACAAACTAAACACAAGATTCGTATTAACGACAAACCACTACTGCAGACATGGTCTTCATCACGCCCTCAGTCCATGTTCATAGAAGACAGGTTCAAAATGGAATTCAATGAGAACAGTCCCACAGTGGCTAGTTGTTAATGCACAAGCTAAGTCTTTGACATGTACTCACAGTGTATAGTATATAACTACACACATATAATCCAAGTATTCATGATACATTATGAACTTTATACAGTTAAGACTAATTCACCCTTTTACCCGCTCTCACTTGTATTTGTTAACATATTAAACACAACTCATTTTCAACACTGGGCTGATTCCATTAAGATTATCGTTGTAAGTTTATTGACATTTTTGGTGTTGGTTGGTTTTGGTTTTTGGTATTTTAGTGATTTTTGTTCAACTCAGGTTTTCAGTAAATATCTTCTGAGCAAATTCTGTCTGTATTTTGTGAAAACTGGGTAGGCTATGAGGTATCGAGTTTTAACTTACTCACTTGGTTTTGAATTTATTCAATGCATCTTGAATATAAGTTTGATGGGACAATTTTAATTTTGAATGTTCGTAGTGTCTCGATTATGCCCTTCAATCTTGGGATTTTTATGTGTGGCCCTAATATACGTAAATGACCTTAATATAAATCTAAATCTTGCATAAAATGTATGCAAGATTTAGATGTATATTAAGGTTGATTATATTCACTTTCTGTCACTTTTCTTCTACTGCACAGTTTCACAATTCAATTATCGGCCCTTAACCAAATTGCTAAATTCATTAGTTTAATCGATATTATGTTCAAAAAGGAAAGTTTAAATTATATTGTGTCATTTAAATAGCTGTGTGAAATGTTAACCGTGCTTATTGCAACACCAGTCTTGTACTGTGTTATAAGAAGTCCTAAGGGCATTCTTTGAGTGTATCAGCGGTCTATTCAAACACAACAGCTTGATTACTTTAGAAACAGCCTGTCAAAATAAGTGCACATTTCATAATGCAATGACATATTTCAATATAACTGAACTGAGGGCTTTTTGTACTTGAAACCTTTTATAATATTCCATTTCTTTTCTGTTTATACAGTTAATTATTATATGTGCTAGCTAAGGTTTGTTATTATAATTCACTGACAGCTCCCAGCTTGATCACTCCACTATTGGCCATACTTAATCAGACATGTAGACTGTTCTTTCAAGTCGTATCTCCTCTCATTGTGCTTAATGCATGCTGTAAGTGTTAGATGCTTTGATGATCATTGGAAAGGGTTCACTAGCATCCCTGTACTGTGCTGACTGTATTTTAAATCCTTACGTCTGCCTACACGGCAGATGGAATTAGAGTAGTGGTTGCAAAATTGTTAACCTTATTCTCACTAATTTACTCTTTATATTGCCGAATGGGTAAAATAATATTCAAATGCCACATTGTTGAAATAAGAAGAAGCGTTTTAGATTTATTATATCGCTATATAGTACAGCTAACCGAATAGATGGATTTGCAAATGTATCGCATTCTGTCGCCAATTTATCTCCTTCTAATATAACATATTCTTATCACGCGTTTTAATACACCATTGTGACACTGCGTTTCAACTAGACTGGGTCAGCCATAGTGATTTTATTTTTTACTAGATCATCTCATAGAAAAATGACCTCAAAGACATTGACAATCATAGACGTTATGCGGCGATACTTATGTTTTCCCAGAGCACGTTTACATCTCCAGTCTAGTGGTTAAAATTCATGATTAAAAAAATATATGATGCAAGAGAAATGAAACAACTGCTTGACCCGGATGCAATGCAAAACGAAAATGATAAATGCGCGACACGAATATGGTACGCGGTGAATGCTCCACTTCCACAGATACCTGCGATTGCGAAAATAATGACGGTTGCTCTACAGTCGTACTATAGGTCATGTTACGTTTTGTCACAAAGAAGATTGTTACGCTGATTTATCTGCTGTACTGTTGTCATCGAATCGTCGACCATTACTTGTATCATTTGTTTTTATCATTCACTCAGCGTTAAGTTGCATTTGTAACTACTGTAGACTATATCCCAGATAGATTGTATCGTATTTATTCTCTACAGATTCCGAGTGGGGCGTTTATTTTATCATCTTATTTCGAGATGGTATCTCTTTTTGAGACTCATACCGTGCTATTTAAAATTTATATTTGCTATTCACTTTTCGTAGGTGATGTGCGGTCTCAGACTATCATTTTAGAATATGTAATTTTCTATTATGAATATGTTTGCTGTTATATAAGCACAAATTATGCCGTGGAATATTTATTTACTTGTTTAAAATCGACCGACATTGGCGAAATTAATAATGATGAAATATTAGACTCCAGATTCAAATTTAGTGATTACATTATAGTTCCTTTTTTTAATTGCAGCCAACGAAAAAAAGAAAGTCCAGTATGGATCCCCTGGCGTACAAAAATAAAGTGAAGGAGATAAAACGGAGAATAGAATTGCGGAAAACAGTGTTATCCGCTAAGCAACCTGAAACTTTTTTGCATGTGAAATCAATGAGCCGACATGAGATGGAAATAGAAAGATCTCTTTATCACGGAACTGATAAAGCCGAATCATTGAATCATCTAATTGCAAGTAAGGAGTTCGTTCTAAGTTTGCATTCAACCATTTCATTTAATGGCATATACCTGACTTCATTGCCAAATTGTTATGTTTCACGTCATTTTAAAGTATATGATGCATATAATATAATATAGATTAGCACATGCAATCCAGTCATTGAAAGATAAACTGTCTATTGATGTGGACCATTACTTAGCTCAATGTAGCCACAAGAGTTTTGAAGAACATGGACGCGCGACTGTGGTACTTTATTTAATGTATTGTCTCTCATTCAATTCAGAAATAGTTTATAAAACACATGCCATATTTACACAGTTTTCTATATCTTAATTTGAAAATGTATAAATCAATGCTTGACGTAACAGATTTAACTATAATATAATATAATGTTTTAAGAGTTGTAGTCGCTGGTGGTAGTGGGAGCATTTGAATTATACGTGCAATGCATTTTATACACGACATATGACCCATATCGAACACGACGCATTGCAACGAACACCGACCTATAGCATCAAGGGTGTTAAAATGTGTAACTGCAAATGGTATGATCCTGCATAACTTTGGCAAAATAACTATTATGTCACATGCATGTGTAGCATAATTCAATAGTGAAAGATACACATTTTGTAGATGATTTTAATGGCATAACCGTTAGCCCATGCAATGCTACAAGTTCTTTCAGAATCATCTTTGAGTTCAGAGGTTGTGAGTGTTCACATCTTTGAACACAAATAAGCCGTCACGATATGCATTCACAGTTGTCAGGCAATATTAGAGTTGATCTCTATATCAATATCTAAAGTTTTTGTTTCTGACGAAATCGGGGTCTATTATTTTGGGTTTCGCCGCTTCCCAGGGACCATGTCTCAGATATACATTGTCAAAAAGGGTGTTATTTATATTTGTTCTTCAGCTGCCCACTCAAGACCGCCATGGATCCTGGTATAGCAAAATGAGGTGGGTGTGGGTGTGCAGCATAATAACACTTGCTGTTTTTGTCTATTGTGTCTTACTTATCGAATATCGAATAATGCCCGCTCTGACAAGCCGCGGATCCAGGGCTAGCTTTGACTGACCTTATTCACAAACACACAAATACCGTGTATGATGACTTACATGTGTATGTTGATGTTTTTTAATCACTTGATCAAGTATTATTGACTGGTGATCATTTTGGTCACCAAGTTTATCAACTTTTTGTACTTGATGAACGCGTCCGGAACCGCTCCATTCATTTTTATATCATGATATAAAACCACGAGATCTCAGTGTGTAAATTTATCCGTAACAGAGATTGCATATACGACTGAAATGTTGTAACATGGTGGTGCATAATCATGCATCTACTAACTGCGTTACAGGTGCTTGTCATTTTAACGTCTCTTTCTCTGAGATGGCTTGTCTAATTTTGATCAATCTCAGTATTAACTACGTTCGTCAGCGATCCAACCAAATATGCTTGGTCCATTACTGTAACAGTACATTACTAGTACCGACTGATCACATGACGATATAAGCAGAAGAATTACACTAATATATTACACACAGAACGAGGACTGTGCATTGTCAACGCTTATTTACTATTATAGTATAGTTTGTGTTGTAGGTTCCCTCTGAAACATTATTTTAGTACATATACAATGTAGGATATCTCTGACAGACAACAACAACGGACGTCTCGGGAATCCCTGATTCTGTCGTGAACACGAGCTTAGTAATGGAATATAAAACTTGGCTATTGTACAATAGCCATTGTGCAATTATAATATACAATAGTTGTAATTAATACACTACTTCAACATCGCTATAATTACATTATACACTACCAGTATGTTTTACTTCCACACACACCGGTGGCCATTTGTCATGGTTTCCATGTCAGTTTTTCTGGAATACAATGAGTGTTTCAGTTCAGTTAAATATTACACCAGCATCGATGTTTTTGCCGAATAGCTAGTCGATTTCAATGTAAAATTGTTAAATCGCCATTTTGACATATCCTGAGCTGTTTCTCAGAGATGATGGAATAGCACTGCCCGCTATTTATCATCGTTAATGAATGTCAAGGTATATGGCAGGAAAATGTCTGTCCTCCTACTTGTCGTTGTCTCTATTGTAAAACTTGTTCTTGTGGTTACAATAACTCAAACAGTTTCTATCAATTTTCTTTCAAGCTTAAAAAACATGTTTAGGGTCTAGGGCAAGTTCAACTTTTGGTATGTATATTTTTTAAAGTTAGTGGTAAAATTTAACTTATAATTGCTTATAATTGCCTTCTTGTGGTTTCAATGGTAATTTTCATTTCCAAATTTTGGAATTTTATCAATAATTATCAAATGTCACCAAGTTTAATGTTGGTGTAACTAGAAAATGCAATTTTCAAAATATAGAGTAAAATGTGGCTGAAATGTATCTGTCTATTAGAAAAGTGGGACACGTAGTATTATTCGAGGAACATGAATAACGATTTCTATAACACAATAAAAATGCGCAATGTTTCGATATTTTAATGCATCGTTCCAGGATTTCTATACTGGCTTTTGCCATGCATTACAAAAATCGTATATTGTTATCCATCCATCCACTCATTTGTTATTTAATCTAGATTCTCAATGGAAAAGCTTGTAATATTCACGTTATATTAAAAAAAGCGATGCATTTGCATAGCAAACACGTGTATTTGTGTCCATAAATATCTCCTGTCGTACACCTTGCCAGACGTCATCTTTGTTATGCAATGTACCAAGCTTGCGCGAGATCCAGTGACTACCGCGTTTTTGTGGTCCGGGTGATTAGCACAACTCTCTAAATTAAAATGACGGCGATAACTACAATTGTCTTCAGCCAGTGTATTTTTTTGGCTACTGCTCTGTAAGTTCTGAGATTACATTGACTGCTTTTTATTATTATACAAGGTTCTATAAGAATATATTTTCCTTTAACAGGTTGAAATATTATTTTTGAACATGTAAAAACGATATTGTGACAGCTATTGCCGCTCTAAGACACGTACATGTATGCTCCGTTCAGAGTTACCCAAACGCACACACTTCGTGGGTACCCCAGGAAATTCAGTTTTGCAGCACTCGGCCTGACTTCCCGTCTATTGATAACTGCACCTAAATAAATACATCAGCGTTTCAGTAAAGTTACTAGTACGGCTTATACTTGTGTTCAAATGTTGATTGATCATGCTTGAACAAACATTGATTTGACTTTGTTATTGGGCATCGATTGAAAGTGCATCAAATGATTGCTGGTTTATGTAATGCATGTTGACTTAATGGGTCTTCAAATTAACACAGTCACATCCATCAAGCCTTTATGGCCTTTTTAAGCTAAGGGTAATTTTTATCCCACTAGTGTAGCTATTACTAGCAGATGTGCCCACATACCTAGTATCCAAATACATAATCAAATATCGAGTATCGAGACAGACACACAAATTATCTAGTGTCCAGAGACCATCTAATACTCTGTATACAGGCAGAAAAACCAGTATCCATACATAAAATCCTATATTTAGTATAGAGACAGAAAATCCAGTATTCAAAACAGAGAATTGCAATTGAATATCCATTATTGACATATCCAGACAGGAAATAAAATTATCAGTGGAGATTGGTGACTGGCACATAAATTGATTAGATACTTACGCAGAAACCCACTTTTATATACGAGAGCCTTAAATTTATTTTGATGACTCGTGCACCTGAATGTACTTATATTTGTGTGTGTGTGTTTTTCTAACATCATTCTTTACCCCAAGCTGTGTGCTAACAATTGTGAAGCGCTAAAAACAACAAACTTGTAATTGAGTTACAATTAGCACTTCACAGTGCACTTGACACAGAAATATGTACAGATGTTGCCAAGCAATTAAATTTCACAGTTGGATGCAGCGTTTTATACTTGAATAGAATTCATCAATTGCCACTTGAACCATATATATACATGCCTTAGGTTTCCCTTCACAGTAATCAAATTAGACTTTCTTGTTAAACTACCATCTATGTATTGACGGACTATTCGCCACTTAGTCATTACTAACACCATAAATAAGTGACAATCTACAGACATCTGAATTGAAAGCCAATATTGGCATTTACCATGTTTGGAATCTTCGTGGACATATGCAAATTCGACATTCATAAAAAAAACATCTGTGTTTGCCTTCGTGAATACACGTCAAGAAGGAACGAATGAGTTTATTCCATATGTATGAATGTCTGAAATTTTTATTTTCGATTATTTTGCAATTTATATTCAGGCAAGGACCATTAGAATTGCTCATTTGGGTGAACACATCTAATGATTTAGGGGATTGTGTAAAAACAAACTTTGTGATTCTATAAAAATCAGCATTGTCCGAATTAGATGTAGTTATGAAGTTGTAAGTTATTTTCTACAGAAAACTGATGTGATTTATTACAACAATAATGATTCCCCCATATCGTCATATTGGATTCTCGTCATCCAATATAGCGCTGTCGGGGTTTACATTATTGTTTAAATAATACAAAATACTTACTGGTGAGTCATTGGTTACTGAT